TCAGAAAGCCCTGGCATCACCAGCTTCTGCTCACCCTCCCACAACACACAAGAACTGATGGTTTATAGAGCTATGCTGTAGAACTAACCCACACTCCAACCCAAACCAAGCACATTYGCCATGATTCAGCTGCAGGGCTAAGAGAGGTGTCAACTGCCAAGGCACTCAGGTGCTGTCCCCTGTCCACTCCTGCATGATGGATGGCAGCAAGTGGATGGGAACACTGCCACTGCCTTATCATGAGGGCGGGAAATAATACCAAAGCCAGGAGAGATCTCTGGAGGTCACGCAGAGCTGGCCCAGAAGTGCAAACTTGCCTCCCTCTGGAAGCTCCTCCAGCTGAGCTCATTGCTCATTAACAGACCTCTCATTGCTCATCAACAGACCCGTGGCAGTGGGAGGACCCCAGTCCTGGAAAAGCCATGGCATGGCTGCAGCTCCCTCCCTRGGATCCATGCAAGAACAGTGTTGGAAGCTGGGGAGCGCCAGGGGCTGCTGAGCACCAACATGCAGTTCTAAGCAAGCAGCAAATTAGGGGAGAGGAGTGCCACTGATGACCCCTCCTCACTGCTTTTGTGCCTTCCAGATCCTCAGCAAAGCCCTCCCCAAGCCTGTTATGAAACAGAGGGCAACAGGGCTGTGGGATGGGGACTGTGCACTTCACACACGGAGATTGCCTCACTGGCACTTCTATGGAGCACAAGAGCTCTCAGCAAGCTTAGGGCACTGAGGCCAATGAGCTGTTTGCTCTTCCCAGATTTCCGGGGGAGGAAGGAGAAAACAAAACTCAGCCTGATGGGTTTTGCAATTGTTGGAAAAATCCCCAGATTCAGAGGTGAGATAGTGCTGGGGGCAAGGGAGCTCAGGGGCCTCTGGGGACTTAAAGGACAGTCAAAAAAACCTGCTCTGTCAAAACCTGCCCGCAGAGGTTCAGAAAACGCCCACACCCTGCCCAAGCATCACCCAAGGGTACTAGAAAAATGCTGGAAAGCAGGAGAAGATACTATCAGCCTGGAGGCAAACAATGCAGCAGCCGCAAACAAAGCGGGAAGGTATTTCCAAGCACAAACACACTTCCCGGAGAGCATGAAAAAGTCATCAGCGACGGGACAGATCGTGCACAGGGAGAGGAAGCGCGAAGGGTGTCATGGGGCAGGACARACTATTCAAGGCAGTGATGCCTGCACCAGAAACCCCTTGCTCATCATCTCTAAGTTTCTCCCAGCACAGGGAGCAGCTTTGCTGGGCTCAGCAAGGATAGGACTCGGCTGCTCTCCCAGAGCAGCTCATCCCCTGAGTGCCTGCAGCTCATTCCTCCTCCAACAATGAGGGCACCTCCAGCTCAGCTCCCTCCTGGCTGCTGCATCCTCTTCCCAGCKCTCTGCAGGTCCAGGCACGCTGCCCAGCGGGACAAACCTGGCACCAGGCTTCCCCAGCTGATTTTTTTTACAGCAGTTCCTTGGGAAAAATCYGACTGTTCATTTACTAATTTTAGGGCAGCGACTAATGGAGCTGAGTGCAACCTGGCACAAAGGGCACCAGGGGAGGCTTTGGCTGGTCRTGCCAGGGGAAACGACATCTGCACAGCTCCAAAGGTGCCAGCTCTGAATTTGGACTGAACGGGGTGGTTTGGGAGACTGACCTCACTCCACAGGCTGTAAATCCTACTGCAGGAGGCTCCCAATGGATATGTTTGCTCATGCAAGCCCCAGCCAGCATCCCAGCTTGTCAGGTAGGACATTCTGCAGCCCCTGCTGYCTCAGAGAGCTCCATGTGGTGCATGGAGCTCCAAAGGCAGCATAGTTTATAACCTATATAATGCAGAAATCTGGTTTATAAACCCAGAACAGGATCCTARCTGTTCACCTGTGATTTCACCAAGGGTCATGGGATGATGCAGGGCAACTGCAGGAAAAAATATCCAGAGCTTGACTTAGGCAGAGAACAGAGCCTGAAATCCCAGGGTCAACACAATTGTGCTGGGCACAGGACCTCCTTGCAMTGCTCCTGTCCTTGAGAACGCAGTGTCCAGTCCTCCCTCCCCCTCCCACTGCCCCATGCTACCATGGCAGCACTCCGGASTGGCGATCCCGTTACAGCCAGCTCCTGCCCAGGGAGCACAGCACACGCCTGAAATTTGAGTTTGCTCCATTCGTCATGTCTCCGGGCTGTTTGTTCCCAAACAAACTCCGTTTAGTCAYCGCCTAAAAATCCCATGACAGCGACAACATGAGACACTTTGCTCCAAGAAAAATGAAAAATGGGATAAAGGGGAGGGTTTTTTTGGGGGCAGGCAAAAGTCTCAAAGTGATCCCCTCTCCCCTGGCAGGCCAGCAAGCTCAGTGTCAGGCACACAGAGCCGATTTCCCCCTCCTGCTGCTCCATCTCTTCTCTCCAGCTCACACTCCACACTCCCCCAGCCAGCCTGGGTTGCTGCCTCCCCTCCTTGCACTCCTGTAGTGCTGCAAGACGGAGATGCTCAGCTATTGCCAAGCTCTGCTGGGTCCTGCGTTCCTAAAGAGGAAAACAAGCCCGTCCCCATCCTGTGAAGGATGCTCCGAGAGCATCGTGCCAACAGGAGATATCCAGGCAGGGTCCCTGTCTCTCCTGTCTCCTCCACWTCCCAGCCCGAATCAGATTTGAGGACACACAAACAAGACACGGTGCCTCGCTTCACATTCGGCCTCCTGCCTTCCTCCCACCTGGAGGAAATTGCTCAGCGTGAATTTCCGTACTGCTTTCTGCTGACAAAGCTGCTGCTGACCAGAGAGATGAGCRGCCGGTGAGGGGCTGGCGGCCCTCCGGCCCCACCATCATCTCCCCAAGTTGCAGGCGCACAGCGAGCAGGAGCACTGGAAGGGTCCCGAGGGCTGGGGAGCCGCTGTGCTCCGCTCCCGGACACCGGGCGTGGGATGCCGGTGCGGAACACGCTGCCTGGCTCAGCCCCGACGACACGGGGACGGACGTCTGTCCTCATCCTGCTTCCCCCTGCCTGGGTTCCTGTGCTCTGAGCAAGCACATCCTCTTCCTCCCCGCCGGCTTATCCGGGACCGGCSGAGGCTGGCATCTCCGGCGGGGGCTCACGAGTCCCGCCGTGACTCACACCGGGAGCGCTGCCCGGGACACTCCGCCCGACCCCTCGTCCCCCGGTCCCCTCTGGCCGGCAGTGCCAGCCCCGTCCCCCACCCGGTGCCCRCCCGGTGCTCTCCCCGCCGCTCCCGTTCCTCCTCACCGGCAGCGGGGCCCCGAGCAGGCGGTGCACCGCGGGCAGCTGCGCGCCCAGGGCCAGCGCCTCCACCACGGCGTAAACCGGGGCGCGTCGGGGCTCCGGGAAGCTGCCGACGGCGAAGGGATCCGCGTCCTCCAGGTACTGCACCCGGCATGGCACCGTCGCCTCCGCCGCCTCCACCACCGCCATGGCCCCGCCGCCGCCGCGGCCACGCGCGGCCCCGCTCCCGGGAACGCGGGCGGACACGGGCTCGGCCCAGCCCCTCCGGCCCGCCCCGGCCCGGGAGGAGCCGCTCCGTGCTCTGCGCGCCCTCCCGCGGGCATCTCGCAGGGATGCTCCGGGCCATGGGATGCTCCAGGCTCTGGGGGGCTCCACTGGGACGCTCTGGYATCAGGGATGCTCCAGGCCCGGAGGGATGCTCCAGGCTCTGGAGGGCTCCACCAGGATGCCCCGSTACCAGGAATCTCCAGACTCCAGGTTGCTCTGGCGTCAGTGGTCCTCCAGGTCCCGTGGGGCATCACCGGGATGCTCCAGGCCCCAGGAGGCTCCAGGCTGCTCCGGGGGCCGGGTGGGGCTGCTYGCCCCAGTTGAACTGGAACACAGATGTGCAGCTGGGCTCAAACTCCCCATCCTGCGGCAGGGGGGAAGCGGTACAGGATGAGCTTCCTGGACCCAGGGTTGTTGCGGTGCTGCCCTGAAAGYGGGGCATGCAGACCTTAGCCTGCAAAACAAAGCTTGTGTAAAACCCATTTTACTTTCTTTTTGACAGATTACCTGGACAATGACCATGGCCAGATATGATGGAGTGGTGGGCAGGGAGCTTTCCMCTTGCTCCTGCCTCCAGCCTGTGTTCCCCAGCCGTTGACTTCTGCTGGCAAACATTTGTAGCACATTTGCACCCAAGCAGAGAGATGGGAAGAGGTGGTGCCACCGAGGCTGCCMGGGAAGTGTCCTGTGCCCCATTCCTACCCAGCCAGTGGACTCAGCCTGGCACCAGCATCCTAGAGTGCACAACCAGCCAGAGGTCTTGCTCTGGTCCAAGRTGTCCTGTCCTGTCCTGTCCTCTGGGGCCATGTGGACACAGCTCCGAGCTGGCTCTCCATGGAGCACTCTGTCAGCGTCCCTTCCTACCCCCTGCCCATCTCCCTGGGCTGCTTGGGCATACCTTGCTGCCCCACCAGGGCATGAGCTCCTGGATCTCCTGGGCTGGGAGCCTTGGGGATGGGGTGTGGGAGATGGGGCACCTCCCAGAGCATGGGGGGTGGCCTCGTCAACAAGCAGGAGGTTTTAGGAGTATCTGAAGAGGGGCTGAGGAGGTAAAAGGGAGACAGAAATCATGGGGGCMCCCCTGGGGTACTCCCAGCTGGTGCTCCGGGAGCACCTGGGCAGGGGTGGATGGTTTCAGCTGGAAAGGGGCTGGCTGGGAGGGGGAAAATTGGGAATTTGGTGGGAGCCAGGGTGGCGGGACTCAGAGCAGAGGCACAGSGGGAGGGCATGTGGGACCAGGGTGATGCGGGTCGGTTGCAGAGAGGACTGAGAGAGGGACAGGAGTCTAGAGAGGGGCAGGGGGCTGCGGGAAGGCGCCGATGAGCTGGGATGGACGGGGATCCCGGGGCTGAGCAGGGTGGTGCCGGGGCTCCGGGCAGTACCGGGAGCGGTCCGGGGCGGGCCGGTGCCGGTCGGGGCGGGGCCCATGGCGTGGGGCGCGGGGGCCGTCCCGGCGCATCCCCACGTGCGCGTGACGCGGGCGGGGGCCGGCACCGGCACCGGGACCGCGGCGGAGCGGAGCGGCGGGAGCGGCGGGGCCATGCAGCCCCCGGCGGCCTCTCCCGGCCCCGCCGCCCCGGCGGGAGCCGAGCTGCTGCGGTGGCAGTGGCGGGAGGTGCAGGCGCCCTGCCTGGTGGCCGCCTGGATCCTGGTAGCCAGCCTGGCCAAGATCGGTGAGTGTCCCCATGTCCCCACCCGCTCCGGTCCCCCGGGAGCAGCCGTGCCCACCCYCGGGCAGGCAGGGGGGATGCGGCATCCCCGGCGGGCTCGGGGCCACCCGGGACGAGGGGTGTCAACGCCCGCCGGGACACGGGTCATGGGGACAAACCCGGCTGGTCACCACCCTCGGCTGGACTGAGGAGGTCGGGGATCACCCCCACGCCACCTCCTCCGTGCCCTGCCGTGGGGTGATGTGCGGCGGCGRGGTGAAGGTACCGCCCGAAGGAAAAGGTGAGGGCCCGGGCTGTTCTTTCCTGCGAAGCACGGATGGATAAATGGGTGGGTGCAGAGGAGGGAAGGTTCACGAGAASAGAAGCCCCAAAAGATGTCCTGTATTCCCAAAGGCAGGCACGGCACCTGCCACTGGCAGGTCTAGAAGCCATTGCTCCCCTCACCTCCCAGCCCTGGGGAAAGGTCGGGGATGCCAGTGCCCGGCTGGATGTGCCCTCAGCAGCCTSGGGATGGAGAGGTGGCTGCAGTCTCCTCCGGTGGGTCACTCCAGATCGGGGCGACCTAGGGCTCTTGTGCTCCCCAGCACGGGACCACGCAGCCGGGGGAGGCTSTGCTGCGAGAGGCTGCGTGGGAAGGCACAATGAGGATGTGTGTGAGTGAGTGGCGCAGGGCTGGGCTCCCCACCAGCACCCGGGGCGCCRGGGAGGGGACAGCCATGAGTGGGTGCCAAGCAGGGTACCCAGAGGGCTGGTCCCCTGCAGTGCCYCTGCCTGCTGTGCTGGGCCCAGGGGATGAGACCATGACCTTGAGGCAGGTTTTCTCCTTGGGGCCCCCACTGTGGCACAGCCCCTGTGCTGGGGGTGCAGACACCCTCTTAGTTTCGAGTTGGTTTGAGTAATGGGGTTTAAAGTTATGCAGGGGAATCTCTGAGCAGCCAGGGACTTGCAGCAGCGCTCAGTACGCAGGGGACAGCCTCAGCTGTGACCACCAGCTGGCCTCTCCCTGTCCCAGGCATCATTGTGGATCTCCCGTTCCCCTCCTTCCTTGCTTTYTCGCAAGAGGGACCTAAAGCCTCGCGAGGAATGAATTAAAAGGTATCATGAGCTTAAAAATACAGCACTCCTCTGTAGCTGTGCCACCTCCAGCTGCCGAGTGCGTCCCTCCTACCTGCAGAAGATCAGAGAGACAATTCCCTTCCCTGGCTGTTATTTCCTTCTCTCCAGCTTTTCCCTGGAGCTGCTCCCTATGCAGGTTTCCACTGACGCACTCCCTTCTGTCAGCCCTGGATTTTTTGCTGGTGGGTGCAGGGGGGCCTGAGCTGGGATCATTCCCAAGCCCCCAGCCTGAGCTGGGATCATTCCCCCCCAACCTGGGATCATTCCCCCGCAACCTGGGATCATTCCCCCGCAACCTGGGATCATTCCCAAGATCCAGCACATTCTTCCAGGCCTGAGGCAAGCTGATGGCCACTCTCCCTCTCTGTCCATGAGACACCACCCTGATGGCTGATGGCTGATACCTTCGAGCTGCTGGACTTAGTGTGTCCGGTGGGTCCAGTGGACACTCAGAGCCTGGAGCCAGTAGCAAAACCCGGCCCTGCAGAGGTGCAGGGCTGCAGGCAGCACCCTGCCATGGGTGTTCCCAGAGATGGCACGTGCACTTCCCAGGGTGCACAGGAGTCCACAGGGGAGATGAACCAGGGCTGGAGGATTCTGGGGAGCAGAGAGGGCAGCACCAGCTGTGGCAGCTGTGGCCGCTGAGCGTAGGCTGGTGCAGAGGTTCCGTTGTGCTTGTGGTGCTGGGCTGCCAGCTCACAGCCCTGTGACTGCAGCGGAGGAAGCGGCCCCACGCCCGGGTGATGGGGAAATGACACTGTGGGCTCTGTTCTCAGAGGCAGTCACGATGCTGGGGTGACCCGAGCCAGCAAACACCCGGGGCAGGGAAAAACTGGCTTGGGTGTTGCCTTCCTGCACAGCGAGGYATCGTCCGGGCTTTGCTGCCTTTTCCATCCTCAGTCAGAGCACAGGATGTGGGGAACAGAGAGGTGATGAGCATTGCCCCAGATATGCTCCTTACACACAACTGCCCCAAGGGCAKGAGTTTTCCAGCAGACCGATGTTTTTCCACGCAGCAGCATTGCCATGGGTTGTAACCCTCTCTCCTCACACCACAGCCTCTGTCCCCAGCCACTCATGTCTTGGTTTAGGTGTTCTGCCATTTCCCAAGCTCTGGAAAAGCAGAGCAGGTTTTGGCCCTGAGTTCTCTCAAAGGCAAATCCTTTATTATGGATGCCTGAGTATGGATTATGTCTCTGAAGTTATTTCACGTGTGGCTAAGTTACCGTTGCTGTGGGAACCTTTAATGCTGAAATTCTTGASTAGCGTGTATAAAATTAGAGCTCGTTCTGCCTGTCCCCACTGTGCTCTCTGTGACATGGGGGAGCTCATGTACTGCCATTTCCTGGCGAGGGTGGCAGCTTTCCCCATCAGCCATGAGATTTTTGGATAAGCAGGATCATTCCCACTGATGCTTCTCTTTTCTTTGCCCAAGTTTCTGGCTTGATGAAAACAAGCACRGAACTRTAGAATGGTTTGAGCTGGAAGGGACCTTGGAGATCATCTTGTTCCTACTACCCTGCCRTGGGCAGAGACACCTTCCACTAGACCATGTTGCCCAAAGCCCCATCCAACCTGGCCTTGAACATTTCARTGATGGATGACAGTCAGAACCCGTGTCCCCCATGTCCCCACAGAATCCCTACGTGCTCTCCTGGGTCTCTCCCACCAGCCAGGACACAGCTCCACAGCACGGGGAATGCAGATGGGTTGCCGAAGCAGAGAGCAGGGATCTTGGCAATGTTCCTGAGAATGCAGAAAGGGGCTGGACGCCKCGTTCCCTTCTTGAAAACTTCAGAGCTTTGTTCCCGTGGGTGGGAAGCGGCTTCACAGCCTGCYGCAAGCGCTGAGTGAGCACCATTCTTCCGCTGGTGAAGGCAGCTTGTGTGGGGTGAACAGGACTCTGCAGTGACTTGTGTGGTCATTTAGCAGGAATTTGGCCTGGATGAAGCTCAGCCAGCTTTTCCTCAGGCTGTGGGTTTGCTTGGAGGGCTGTAGCATCCCTATCACTGCAGTCTCCAGGGCTGTTTTGCAGCCCATMGCAGTGAGCAGAGATGGCTGGGCTGAGCAGGGGTGCCCCGGGCACTGTGGCTGGGGTGTTCACTGGCAAAACTATGGCAGAGGCTTGGCATGGGTGCTCTGTCCTGTTGAGGTGGCTGCTGATGGGGCTGCAGATCACATTTCCCCTGTGCTCACTGCTCTGCCCCTGTCGGCTGCAGCAGTGCCCCTGCTGTACTGTGGCAGGGAGCCARTGCTGGGGCATGGATGTGGCTTACYGTGCCAAGGAGCAACMTCTTAAGGTCCTGGACAGGAGGAAAGGTGGCCCTTAGCCTGCATATTGGGTGGTGGGCTTGAAGATGTTGTCTCTGCTTGTGAACCAGATCTTTGACATTGAATTATCTCCTCTAGTTCAGAGCTCAGCTGCAGTGAAGGAAAGAAAATCACCTAAGAGGTGCTGGGAAGAGAGAAAGGAAGAACATCAAGAGGCCACAACCTCAGTTCCCCAGGTGTCCACAKCTCAGGGACACTGGGACCTATCCCAGAAGGATAGAGCAGGACCAGGACAGGTTCAGAGGAAAATGACAAGGGCACAGAGACATGGAAACCTACTGATGAAGTATTGCATGTTCTGGGCTCCTCTCCAGGACTGTGCCTGGAGACAGCACCCTGGGCTAGGCAGACCTTGTGGTCTGTCCATGGGGTTCCAAAGGAGGGAAGCAGCCGAGTGACCTGGGATTGATACTCAACCATAGCACAGCTTTCCTTCTCGAGGAGTAGCTTGGCACAAGCAATGGGCACCTTTAGTCCAGCTAAAGGGTTTTAGGGACTGGGTTTTGGGGTTGGTAGCAGGGCTGGGCTTGCAGCCAAGTGATGGCTCAGAGCCTGCCTTGATGTCCCTTGTACCTGCTGGGTGCACAAGGACAGAGGTRGCTCTTGAAGTGCCTGGAGGGAGCCATTCCCCAGGAGATTTCTTCATCTTGTGGCCAAGTCATATGACAGAACTGGGCTGGATGTCACAAGTGATGGCAGCACTTAGTGRTGGRRGGACAAAACCAYTGTGACCCTCGACAGCCTTTCCCCAAGCAYGGCCCTTTCATGGGGGCAGCAAAARTACAGYACCTTGTGCTAGCAAGGAGAAMCCCAYAGGGATGGGGATTGGCTGCCCAGAAGCTGGACTGATTTGGGATTACACACGATGCCCTGACCTTGGGGAAAAGGGTGCCTGGAGGAGTGAATCCCCTGTGCTGGCTGGCGTGGCATCCTGCTGACTTGTGCCTGAGCACAGGCTCACTGCCACGTTACTGATGGATGAATACCAGGGCATCCTCTCCTTGCTTTAGAAAATACATCCTGTTCCGTGGCAGCTTCAGATTTGGCCCAAACCTTGCATGGAATAAACTGATTATTCCAAGCATCACTAAATCTGCAGCTCCCAAGTGCCTGTGTTTTTGCATGCAGGTAGGTTAGCTGGTGCTGAGGGAGGTTGTGCWCTGGTGTGGCTTGTGCTGCAGTGGTTTGCATGCTGCTCTGGCTGCTTGCTCAGACAGATGCAAACAAGGTCACCCCATCGCCAGGGCTGAGCATCCTCATCTCCGAGTGGGGTGACATATCCCAGGATTTCTTCACTCGAACAGTGGCCAGCAGTGCTCGTGACACTGTGAATRTGCTCGCTGCCTGCTTTAATCCTTTAAGTGCAGACACCAGGAGCCAAGAAAAGTAAAATGCCTGTCTGCTTGGCTTATTAGTGGCTGAGGAGGAGAGGGAAATCCTAAAGAGTCAGGGACCTGAAATCCTGACCTGTGAGGTAGCTGAAAGATCTTCTGTGCACATGTAGTCACAAAGCAGCCTTTCCATAGGCGCTCCCTTGTCCTCTTCCCATTCATCATGCATCACCCAACCCTTCTGTGGAGCCTGCGGTTTTGGGATGCTCTGTCCATGTACCTGTTTGGCTGATGCTGTCATTCTTCTTTTCCTTCTAGTTTTCCAYCTGTCAAGGAAGGTGACATCCATCGTCCCGGAGAGCTGCCTCCTCATCCTGCTGGGGCTAGGACTCGGGGGCATCGTGTTGGCTGTGGCGAAGAAAGCCGAGTACCAGCTGGAGCCCAACATGTTCTTCCTCTTTCTTCTGCCTCCCATTGTCCTGGACTCGGGGTACTTCATGCCCAGCCGGCTGTTTTTCGACAACATYGGTGCCATCCTCACCTACGCCGTGGTGGGCACRCTCTGGAACTCCTTCGCCACYGGCACCGCGCTCTGGGGGCTGCACCGGGCCGGGCTCATGGGTGGGTGTGCAGGGCCGCCCAACTTGGACCACATCCCCAAAAAACAGGTTGGAGGTGCAAAGCTCCCCTGATTTCATAGCCCACTGCCTCTCTCTGCTGTGGATTCCTAGGAATCACAGCACGAACGCGGTCCTGACATCCTGGGAATGGTGCTCTGGCAGGACGGTCAAACATGCAGGACAGTAGGGCCCTGCTTGGCACTGGGCTGACTCATGTCTTTGCTATTTTTGTCTGCTGACCTTGGCCAGCRTTGCTGGCTCGCTGCCGTGTTCCTTGTCCTTGGCTGGAGCCACTGGCCCTGGCTGGCCTGGGGTGTCTGAGCTCTCCTGAGCCCTGAGGAACCACTTGATGCCTGGACCTGAGGTGGGGCTGCTGAGCYGCCTTTGGTGGTGCTTGCTGGAGCAGCAGTGATGCCCCTGGGTGCCAGCGGGACATYCCTCATGCTCCTCTCATGTTGCAGCAAGAATACACTAAGCCCTGCTTTTCTGAGGGCACTCTGGAGGTCTGGGAACACTTTTGGGCTCGTCCCACTGGGCTCCCAGTTGAGGTGCTGCAGCCAGGTCACTGGGACCATTTTGAGGGAGAGGCTTGTTTCTGCCCGGTGAGAGGGGCTCTAGGGTGGCTGGTTCACCTGACCCTGGTCCTTCTGTCCTACAGATCCAGGTGTTGAAGCTGGGCTGATGGATTTCCTGCTCTTTGGCAGCCTGATTTCAGCTGTGGACCCTGTGGCAGTCCTGGCTGTCTTCGAAGAGGTCCACGTAAATGAGACCCTCTTCATCATTGTGTTTGGCGAGTCTCTGCTGAATGATGCTGTCACYGTGGTGAGTTGCAGCTTGGGGGACTCTAATGTTGAGCCCAGCACAGTCCCTGGTGCTGGACTCCCCAGGATGGGCAGAGGATGCAGATGACATCCTCAGGCTGGGGACAGACCCATGCCATGCTCTCTTGGCCTTTCCTTTCTCCTGGCCCTAGGAGACTTTGCCTGCTGAAATCAGCTGTTACCTGGCAGGTTTGGGGCAGGAAGTGCCTCTTCCACAGGATCCATCCTGCCCCTCTCAAGGCAGGGCAGTACCCTGTGTTCCTCAAGGGATTTGCCTTGCCTGCAGGTGCTGTACAAGGTCTTCAACTCTTTTGTGGAGCTGGGCCCAGCGCACATCCATGCCACAGACTACGTGAAGGGGGTAGGTGAGTAATTGCCACACCAGCCCCTCCACCTCTTCCTCTGTTGTGCAAGTGGAGGGGGGCAAGCAYAGGAGCTGTTGTCCTGTGGGGTGGACCCTGAGCACCACAGTTCCRTCATCCCCATCCATCACAGATTCTRGCCATCAGCACAGAATCACAGAATTGTTTGGGCTGGAAGGGAYCTTAAAGACMGTCTTRTTCCAACCCCCCTACCATGACCAGGAACACYTTCTACTAGACCAGGTTGCTCAGAGCCCCACCCAACCTGGCCTTGAACACTTCCAGGGATGGGAGAGCCTCAGCTTCACTGGACAATGYGTGCCAGRGCCTCCCCACCCTCACAGGGAAGGATTTCATCCTAATATYCAATCTAATCCYGCCCTCTGTCAGTTTGAAGCCATTYTGCCTTGTCCTGTCACTCCATGTCCATGTCAAAAGTCCCTSTCCAGCTCTTTTGGAGTRCMCTTTAGGTAYTGGAAGAGCCTCKGAGGTCTCCCCAGAGTCTTCTCCRGGCTAAACAGCYCCAAYTCTATCAGCCTGTCCCCATAGCAGAGGTGCTYCAGSRGATGCTTTGGTGGGGACCTGGGTGGGAACATGGCATTTGGCCAGTCCAGCGTGGCATGGCTGTGGGACACAGGAGCTGGGCCCACTTGCTTATCGTGCAGTCTTCTCCTCCTACCAGCCTCCTTCTTCCTGGTGAGCCTGGGGGGCACGGCCGTGGGGCTGCTCTTCGCCTTCCTGCTGGCCCTGATCACGCGGTTCACCAAGCGCGTGCGCATCATTGAGCCGCTCTTCATCTTCCTCCTGGCCTACGTCGCGTACCTCGCTGCCGAGATGGTCTCACTCTCTGCCATCCTGGCGTGAGTACCACRGTGTCCCCCAGGGGAGCCCAGGAAATCGGGGTTGCAGCGCTGAGSAGCAAGAGGCAGCGAGCAGACCCACTCCTCATCCCGCTGTAGGGCCATGCCAGCTCCTTCTGCCCCTCTGCAGAGTCACGTTTTGTGGGATYTGCTGCAAGAAGTACGTGGAAGCCAACATCTCCCAGAAATCCCGCACCACRGTCAAGTACACCATGAAGACACTGGCCAGCAGCTCAGAGACCATCATCTTCATGTTTCTGGGCATCTCRGCTGTGGACACCTCCAAGTGGACATGGGACACGGCACTGGTGCTGGGCACCCTGTTCTTTATCCTGCTCTTCAGAGCCGTGGGTCAGTCTGTCCCGCTGTGTGTGTGGATGGTAGCACCCAGCCCTTTTCTTGCCAAAAAGGGATATTCCCCAAGAAAGGTTGAGGCACAAGCCCATCCTGGCTGGGTTTTTTTGCTGTCTCCAGGAGCAGGCAGGATTCTTCCAGCATTCCAGGCTCTCCTTCTCCTTCTTCCCCAGGTGTTGTCCTCCAGACCTACGTGCTCAACCGCTTCCGCCTCATTCCCCTGGATAGGATCGACCAGGTGGTCATGTCATATGGTGGCCTCCGTGGAGCTGTGGCCTTCGCCCTCGTCATTCTGCTGGACAGGGAAAAGGTGAAAGCCAAGGACTACTTTGTGGCAACAACCATCGTGGTGGTGTTCTTCACTGTYATTGTGCAGGTGAGGATGGGCACTGTGCCCTCCAGTGCTGCTTTCTTGCCCCAGAACTGGCCTGGAGACATGTGCTTTGGGAAAGTATCTCTTTTCAAGTGATTTTTGGTCCTGGGTGCCTTCTGGCACCCCATCCCTTACCAGGTGTGCAGGACCACTATGGGGTCTGTTGTGATGGTGGGGCCATGGCCCATGTTCTTTTCCCATTGGCCTTTTCTTCTGGGACTGGCACCAAGAGCTCCAAGAGTGTGTGCCGGTCACTCTGTTCTCTTTACAAAGCTGCTGATGGGCCCTGGCTCTGCTGTTTGGCACCCYGGGAAGGGAAGCCACAGGGAGGAGGGATATGAGTCTAGGGGAAGGAGGAGTGGGGGCATACACTGTGGCACAGGGGGTCAGGTTGGTAGGGGCACACGTGGCTGGCACAGCCACTGTCCCCGGTCACTTCGTGCTGCTTCTGCTCCCCTTGCCCCAGCCATGCACCCTCTCGCCCTCCCAGTCTTTCCCTTGCCTTCTCCTACCATTCTAGGGCCTCACCATCAAACCCCTGGTGACGTGGCTGAAGGTGAAGCGCAGTGACCACCACAAGCCCACGCTGAACGAGGAGCTGCATGAGCATGTAGGTGACAGTGCCTSAGGCTGACGGGCTCCCCACRTCTGTGGGRATGGGCAAGGGCCATGTATGACCTYGGCACCCCCGGGGCATGCACRGCCTTGCCACTGCTCACCCTCTTMCCCTCACTCAAGGCCTTYGACCACATCCTGGCAGCAGTGGAGGACATCGTGGGGCATCATGGCTACCACTACTGGCGCGACAAGTGAGTGTTTTAGCCAGGATCCTCTGCTGATTGTCAGGTGAATGGGGGACACGTGCCAGCCAAAGGGACATTGCAGCAAAGTTCTCCAGCACAGGAGGACACCCCTGCTGTGGGCAGGGCAACAGGACCAGGAAGCCTTTATGTCTGTCCATCAGTCTGGATAGGTACCATCTGGCTGCTGTTGTGCAGCAGATCAAGATCACAAAAGCCTCCCAGAGAGAGCTCAGGCAGGTGTGGTTGGGGATGCTGTGGAGCTGGCATTGCTTGCCAAGGTCAGAACTTGGGGTGTCCATGTTGGTGGCCATGGCCCTCTGCCTTCTCATGGATGGAGCTGTGCTGGGCACTGAGGAGGGAGCAGCCCTGTTCCTGCCTGGGCAGTGTTTATCTGCAGCACACCAACAGGAAAAGGATGCAAGAAGCCTGTTTCCTGCAGGGGAAGTGCTCCAGCAGGGTGGCCCCAGTCCTACTCGCATTGCCTCTCACAGACCCGCTGGTGTCTGGCTTCCCCTTGGGCAGGCTGAAGGGTCACCATGTCCCCTCCCCTCCTGCTCTCCCTGGCTGTGCGTGTCCTTGTGCACAGCCAGGTCCTGTGTGCCCAGCCTCCCTTCACCATACTTTGGACACTTTGGACACTCAGCCTTGTGTGGGTAGATACCCTGGCCATGGTTCTTCTTGGGAGCTAAACTGCTTGTGTCTTCATCTCATGGCAGGTGGGAGCAGTTTGACAAGAAATACCTGAGCCAGCTCCTGATGCGGAAATCTGCCTACAGGCTGCGGGATGAGATCTGGGATGTTTACTACAAGCTGAACATCCGTGATGCTATCAGCTTTGTGGATCAGGTACAGGCAGTGGTGGTGGCCAGGCGGCAGGATGGCCCTGGCAGGAGAGGTTCCCCTCATGCATGGCCACATGGGCACCCTCTGGCCAGGCAGTGGGGACCCTCCCAGCCCAGCTGAGTCCTTGCTACCCTGATGCCAGCCTTGTCCTCCAACTTCCCAGGGTGGCCACGTGCACTCRGCTGCCAAGCTGGCCCTGCCCTCCATGCCCAGCCGCACGTCCATGTCAGAGTCATCAGTCACAAACCTCCTGTGAGTACAACCATCCCTCCAAGCCCCTGGACAGACCTCGATCTCATAGCTGCCCTCTTCCCCTGCGGATGGGTTGTGGCAGGGCTTTCTGGGGGCTGGCACAATGTGTGCATGGAGCTCAGCAGCTCCATACCCATGTCTGCGCAGGAGGGAGAGCGGGAGCGGTGCGTGCCTGGACCTGCAGGTGATCGACACGGTGCGGAGCCGCAGGGACAAGGAGGACGCTGCCATGCACCACGTTCTGCGAGGGAGCCTCTACAAGCCCCGCCGGCGGGTGAGCGCTCCGGGGCCACGGCGTGCAGCTGACCCCGAGGGGAGCAGCGCCYGCAGGAGGAGCAGGGATGGAGGATGCTCTGTGGGGCCAGCTGCTCACCCTGTGTCTCTTTGCCTCTCCCTCGGCCAGTACAAGGCCAGCTACAGCCGTCACTTCATCTCTCCAGATAAACAAGAGCGCCAAGATAAAGAAATCTTCCGGCAGAACATGAAGAGGCGTCTGGAGACCTTCAAGTCCACAAAGCACAATGTCTGCTCCTCCAAGAGCAAGGCCAGGCTGAAGGAGAAAGGCAGGAAAAAGGCAAGTCCTTCCCAAGCTCCTGCTCTTTTYCTGGCTCTGAGATTTGGCCTCCCCMKGGATGCAGTCAGTGAAGTCCTTTTGGGGTGTAGATGAGGTGCTGCAGGGCATCRGTAACTCCAGAGCCAAAGGGGAAAGCACTCATCTTATCTCTGTCCTGTTGATGCTGCATGTGAGCATGCAGGTGCTGTGTGTTCATGTGTCCCCAGTATGCCATCAGTGCTGTGGGGTGGCTCTTCCCTTAGCAAAGCCCTGCAGGAGCTTTGTTTGTTTACCAAGAGCACTCAACACACAGCAGCCTCAATGCTGGTGCAGATCCAGTCTCAGAAGTGTGGCACTGTGCCTTCAATTGAGCCTTAGGTGTCTTATTTTGGGAAGCTTTTGAAGCCATTGCAGCTGAGCAATTCATTGTGGGTCCATGAAGATGCACAGCCTAAGGATAGGAACCATCTGCCATGTAGCCAGGGTGGTAATCTGCATGCCCAAAATTGGCTGACTTGCAGGACCACCTCTTGGGTTTAGGGCTTTGCACAGGGCAGGTCCCAGCCAGTTYCTTTTCTTTCACAGAAGAACATCTCTCTGACCAAAGAGGCATCCAACGGGAAGACGCACAAAAATGTCCCCTGGCAGGATGCAGGTAAGGCCAGTGGCAGGTGAGGATGGCAGGTCCTGGCAAGGGGACCTGGTGGGGTGGGATAGGAGCACCTGCTGTGCCTGCCCACTGCCAGCTGGGTCAGATGACAGCAGCCAGGGTTGTGCTAGCATCAAACCAAGCCACTCCATCTGCCTGCAGCTCCTGTCCTGGTGATGGTCAGCTCAGAGGAGGAGGAGAGTGATAGCTCAGAGACRGAGAAAGAGGATGATGAGGGGATTGTGTTCGTCGCTCGAGCCACTGATGAGGTCCTGCAGGGAAAGACAGCTCCTGGTAGGCACCAAWGCCCTAGGCCAGGGCAGCTGCTATTGGGTAGCTTGTCCTTCCTCTACCTGTGGAGCAAAGTTGCCTTGGCCTGGGCAAAACCAAAGTCAGCARAACATGGGAGAGAATCACTGTCCTCCGGAGGTGTGGCAGAGCTTCCCTGTGTCCTGCATCCTTGGGCTAGTGCATGATGTGATTCTTGGGGTTGTCTTGCAAAGGGCAAGGAGTTGGACTCCATGATCCTTGTGGGTCCCTTCCAACTCAGGATATTCTAGGATTCTATGCCATTTGGTAGTGGTTGGTGCTGCAACGTTTGCAGGGTCCAAGGAGAGACTGAGAGCTGTGCAAGCTCCTGCTCACTGTCCTTCCATCTGCATCCCCAGGCAGCCTGGATGTCTGCCCCAGCCCCTGYATCATCCCTCCATCGCCAACCTTGGCAGAGAAGGAACTGCCATGGAAAGGAGACCAGGCTGATCTGGCTGTTTATGTCTCCTCGGAGACCACCAAGATCGTGCCAGTGGATATGCAGAAGGCGTGGAACCAAAGCATCTCCTCCCTGGAGAGCATCGCTTCCCCCCCRGGCACTGAGAGTGGACCTCAGCACAGGAGATTTGCCTGCCCTGTGCTGGAGGAGCAGCCCCAGTCTGCGAGCCAGGTGATGCCAGAGCAAAGCTCCTGCTTCCAGTTCCCCAGCCATGTCTCCAAGAGCRGCCRGTCACAGAGTGACAGCAGCCCGGAYGGTCCTGAGCAACAGGAGCTGCAGCCTTTGATGGCCACGGAGGAGCAGGGCAGGATGGCACCCAGTGTGGAGCCCAGGTGGCTGATGTTCAACAGAGCGAGCCACCTCTGAGGCACCCTGTGGGTTGGGAAGGGGCTGGGGGCTGCAGAGAGGCTGTGACCTGCTGTCTCACATTGTAAAGCTTGTGTGTGTCTCCAGAAACTCCAGGAGCAGCAGGAGAACCCAGTACTCCTGGACCTGCACTCCGGGGTGGGCTTGGTCAATAATTGGGCTTTGTGCAGCAACAACAGGTACCAGCCCCTGTMCCCCCAGGGAGGCACAGATAACAAACTTCATCCTTCCTCTCTGGTCCCTACACATCTCCACAGCTGGGTGGTTAGAGACCCCAAACGGACTTGATCCTGTCATGGCTGTGCTGCCCTGAGGTGGGGGCTGCGAGCAAATGGGCTGTGGCTGCTCACAGGTATAGGAGTATGAGCTGATCTCCAGCYTGGCTGTGAGTAGGAGACCTCTGGGAAAAGGGCCAGTAGCCACTCCCAGTGCACAAGAGCCCGCCCCATGCAGTGACTGAGCCATTGACTTCAAGGTGGCCACAGCGCTGGTTCCTCACAGCATGCATGGAGCTCGGCCAGGAGCTCCTGATGGGCTCCTTGCCATGACAGCTCTGCGTTCCCTGGGTTATGGAGGCACCACGTAGACAAGGCCGTGACTTTCTCAGGACTGGGAGCAGTGCTCCTGAGGTTTGGCTCCGCCAAGAGCTGGACCAGTGAACCTGTACGCACAGGAACTCCTCTAACAGCCAGCCTGCTGYGCCAGCCTCACTCCTGTCGCCTGGATGTGATCCCAACAGCTGCAGTGTTCAGCTTTCTGGCTTTAATAGGAGGCAGCTGCCCTCACAGCATCCTTGGTGTTCATTCTGCCCACAGCCCAGTCCCTCCAGTTGCCTGGGGCCCATCAGCTTGGTGGACTGGTCATGGTGCAAGCAGTGGAGCGAGCAGCAGGTATGAATGTATCAGGAACAGGGGTGATGGGTGTGAGCAGAGTGCACCTTCAAAGGTCTGTCCCCRGCACCTGCCTTCCAGCCACCTGGTGGCCCACACAATGAATTATTTCTGGTGTGATTCCAAGGGCCAAGAATTGCTCCCCAAAAACTGCTCAGCACACAAAAAAGCACAATGGCTGGGCACCATCAAAGCAGGAGAGTTGGGGGTGCTCGTCTTTGGGAAAATGGGGACTTGGACTGTTAATGCCCCAAAGCAGATAAAAGCCTGCCTGTTGCAGGTCTGTGGGTGTGCTGAGACCRCAGGTGCCAAGGGGACACTTGGATGCACTGGGTGGGCAAGCCCAGTGTGGAGCAGGTGAGCTGGTGGRACACCCAGCATTGTCAGCAGGGCTTTGTAGAGGCCCTTCAGCTCTGTACCTGTTCCACCAGATGAGCATGAGGTTTTTAAAAGGTTTTTATATAGTTTTGCATTTCTGGTATGGAATATTCTAGTTTTGATTTCTGATATTGGGCCATATTAAATCTTTAGCTGGGTCAGTGTTTTCTGTAGCCATGGGCACTACAAATGACTCAAGACTTAATATATTATTTGCAAGGATATTGTTATAATGTGAAAATATATGCAGAGTATTTTGTAATGTTCAATAAACTGGAGTTGGAGCAGACATTGTGATCTGGTCTCTCTGCTGTCTGGGAATCTCTGCCCGTCCCAGTTCGGTTCTCCTTTGCAGGCATCGTGTCCCTGTGCCTCTCCGTTCTTCTCCACCCGAGGCCCCAGCTCCCCTCTCAGCCTCAATGTGCCTAACTGGATTTCCTGGCCTTCATAAAGTTTGCGGAAAATGTGRAATTCTTTCCAAAGAGACGCTGGCCTGCAGCCGTCGTTAGGCCTGTGCAGAGGGAGCAGCCAGGCCCTTCTGCCCAGAGCTGTGGCTGCACAGCCACCAGTGTGCTGGGAACCCACATCTTCCCATGTCCRTGCTGCCTCTCTCCTTGCTAAAAAATATGGTTCAAAGGGATCTGTTTCAGGGGATTCTGGGTCACAGGAGCCTCCTTCCGTCAGTGTATGCTTGTTTTGCTTTTCCTTGATCTCCTGGCCACAAGGTAGATGTTTGGCTTGTATTGAACCTGGCATCCAACATCACCCCCAGGCCAAAATTTTTGACAGGATCAAATGTAACTCCTAGCCCTGGGAGGTTTGCACTGGCCTCTGTGGAAGCTCCTGCTCCTCGTGACATTCCCCATCTGCCTTGCATCCCACCAACAATGCTGCTGGCTGAGCTGTGCTTTGCCTGCTGGACCTCAGTGCCAGCATTGCCTGCAGACACAATCGCCTTGGCAGGACACCAGGCTATGTGGGCCAGGTTGTTTCCTGGAAGAGGTGAGTCTGCAGCCTTCAGGTCCTAAGAGGAGGGAAAGCAGACYTCTCAGCTTCGAGAAATGCTGGGGATGGTTGCTGCTGTCTCATCCGGATATCTGAGCCTTGCAGATGATGTGGGTGCGGGCTCTTTATGCCACCAGCCAGCAGCTCGGAGCCCCTCCTGCCCAACCTCAACCCCAGCCATGTTGTGAGCAGGAATTGTGGCTCCTTGCCAGTTCTTATTCTTGCACTCCACTCTCTGTATTTCACCTTAGAGCRTCCTGCCTGCACAGGACTGCTCTGATCCTTCCAGCACAGCACAGAGCTGTCTCTTTCAGCCTAAAAATATTAAAGTGCTTCAGTGGAAAAACACAAGGAGTGGGCCAAACCACAAGTGCAAATGTCCAAACCTCTGCTTCTCCAGGACAGAGTAAGACACAACCAGAGGAGCTGCTTGTCAGACTGTAACCCAGAACATACAACCCTCTGACTGTTACTGTAAACAACCCATTCCCAGTGCAGACCATCATAGACCCAGTCCTTTTGCACCCAGGCTTCTGTTTAGAGCTTGCCATTAAACCCGCACTTTTTTCTTTTCCCCACAGACATTTGCTTTCTCCAATACTCAGCTCCTCCAGTTCCTCTGTGGTACCAAAACTGGTGAAGTCAGCAGGGGATGTAAGGCAGCTCTGACATCAGAGTGGAGGAGCTGTGGGCAATGAATTGGTGTTGGCTGTCTCACAAGTGAGTCTTAAATTACCACATCACTTTCACACAATGCACATTGGAGCATCAGCAAATTTCAGACTGGAGGGGGATTGGAAGGTCCATAGTCCAACCTCAGTTCCATGCAGGGCTGGTGGCAGAGCTAGAGCAGGTAGCTCAGAGCCTTGTCCCACTGGATTTGGAATGTCCCTGAGGGTGAAGGTGTCAATTGTCCCTGTCCCAGAGCCACACTACAGCTCTACCAATCTTGCACAGAGTTAATTTCTCCTTATGCCCAGTAAATATTTCCCCTGGGGCAGGTTGTCTCCTTTACCTCTTGCTCTTCTAAGTGTGTTTCTGGGAAGTGTTGGGTTATGGTTTCTGTGGGCCATCTTGTTGGGGGCTCCCCTCTGCCTTGTCTTCTTAAAGCTGGTTCTCTCTGACCTATATATGTGTGTATGTGTATATATTCTTTTGGGAAGCCCCAGATTGGAACTAGCACCCAGTTGTGTCTCACAGGTACCAAATCCAAGAAATAATTATTTTCTTGAATTGCCAGCTTCATATTCTCCACTGCAGGAAGGGTGCTGTTGACTCACGTGTGTGGTTGCTGATCCTATTCTGGTTCTGGAGCACYTCTGACACCCTCTTGGGATGTTTTCACACTGCTCTGTACAGGCAGTAGTGCGAAGTGAATGAATAGGAACCAGTTCCTCACCWCTCACACAAAGTGTGTCAGAGGCTTTGGCCATGCTCATGTTTTCATGGAGTACAGTGGGAAGGCAAATGCAGAAGAATTCAGGAGAGCTCTTCAGTCTGATTGTATCTCATACACATAATTTGGACACCCATCAGTCTGTCCCTTGCTCCTGCCTCCTCATGTCCATCTGTCCAGGCATCTATCTCATCTACGATCAGACTGAATACYTCCCCTTAATTTTGAGTTTTCCTTCTCACTCTTCACACGTGAAGCAGCCATCCTTGCTCCCTGCTTTTCACTGGAAGTCTCCTCTGCCTGTTGGTGGAGGGAATAATCGTTTTCCCTCTGGCATTACCTCCGGAGGGGGATGCCAGCCCTGCCCCTGGCCTGCCYGCTGCAGAAGTGGCTCGGCTGACGGGATGCGAGCGGGCCGGGGCTGTGCCGTGAGCGGCTGGTGACGGAGCCGGGATCAGTCGGCAGCCGGGGCGGATAATGAGGAACAGATTCGCGTTGGGCAGTGGTTTCCATGCTGCGTTCCAGGGCAGAGCGGCCAGGATGGGAAAGCCTTTGTGCTCCGCGCTGCACCACTCCGGCTCGTTTGGAGCCAGCCCCTCTGCTCCCCCGGGTGTCCCCGCCGGCTGCCGGCAGTGAGTGGCCCCGGGCTCCTCGCAGGGCTGGGGACCCTCCCCAGTAGCTCTGTCACCTGCCAAGCTGCAGGGTGGCTCTCCCCAGAAGGCTTTCCTCACATCCCRGCTGTGCAGGAGAACAGGCTGCAGCGTGGACTGGCTGAGGATAGAGAAGATCAGAGGGATCTTTAGATCAGCACGAGCTGGATGGGGTGATCCACACCTTCCTTCACGGCTCAGACTTCTCTGCTTTTCCCTGGAGGAGCAAAYGAGACTGTGTGAATCCCTGGAGGACTGCATAACCAGGCTGCTGCTCCTGGGGATTTCGGCAGMACAGCCAGAGTGGAAGCCAGCATGGTGGGGTCTTTGATTTTATGAGTACCCCAAATCCAAGAGTTGTGATCCTCCCTGCAGCCAGACACAGCTGTTCCTCATAGCCACTTCGAAGGCAAGGATCCCTCAACAGGCCACCTCACCACCTCTCACCTCATCTTCCCCTGGCATCTGTGGTCACACATCCAGGCTGTCCTGAAGGTAAATGAAACCTGTGGTGGGTTAGYTGGAGAGGGAGGGAGGCTGCTGAGGACACTTTGGGGAGGTGGCCACCAGCCCAGCTGATCTGGTCTGCGTCAAACCACAGGTCATCCTGAGATTATGGGCAGCCCAGGAAGAAAGGCTTGGAAAGGCCTCTTCTACGTATGGAGAAAGCTGGCAAAASCTTCAGAATGGTACCCCAGAAAGATGGCAAAAGAAAAAAAAAAGAACTATGAAGATTAATAAGTTTTCCCATGTTGTGGTGTGGGGTTGGTTGATGGGAGCTGGCCAGTGAAGGACCACCAGCCACATGTGCTGGATGGAAGTGCTGTGGAGTGAGCAGGTGGGACAGGTTGCTGCTGGAGAGCTCATCCATGAGGCTCATTCCGATCTTTGCTTTATTCTGCTAAGGAACAAGATAGAACTGTTATAAATGTTTAACTTTTTTTTTCCTCCTTAGTAAAAATAGCTTTAGAAGCAAACAGGAAATTACAGACTGAGGAGTGCAATGAAGAGGGGRAAAAGTCAGGCAGCTACCTCGCTGYGCTTGGCTTTGTCTATAAATACAGCTTCACGTGGGGTGTCGCTTGCCCAAAGGCAACCAAACCGCCCCCAAACTGGTGGGGATGGGGGACTGGGTGGAGGCGAGCATCTCCCCTCCGGCGAGGGTGATGCACCGAGGGTCGGAAGAGGGGCCGGCGCTGGCTGAGTACCGAGGTCAGCTGGCACGGAGCTCAGTATCGGCGGGAGCGGGCGGGGAGCGGCGGAGAGCGGGCAGAGAACGGCGGGAGCTCCCTGAGGGAGCGGCGGAGAGCGGGAGGAAGCTCCCTGAGGGAGCGGCGGAGAGCGGCGAGAGCGGGAGCGAGCTCCGTGAGGGAGCGGGCGGAGAGCGGAGGAGAGCGGCGAGAGCGGGCGGGGAGCGGCGGCAGCTCCCTGAGGGAGCGCGTGCGCCGCCCAGCGCCGCCAGCAGGTGGCGCCCCGCACCGAGGCCTCGCCCCGGCCCGCCCGCCAAAATGGCGGCCGCGCCCCCTCAGGGAGCCCCCGGCGGGGCGGGTGCGGCGGAGCGCGGCTCAAAGGGCCCGGGTTTCCATGACGGGGTAGTCCTAAGGGAATAGATAATATATTTGTGGTAGTTTCAGGCTTTCTTTGGTGTGCCAGCCCAAGCTRCTGCCCCAGCTCCTTCCCGCTCTCCTGATGGCGGGTGTGATGTGCAGGTTCAGTCGCCAGCTCACACTCTTTCTCACACACCTTCCTCTCACCCACCAGTAAACAAACCCACCAGGGGCTGCAAAATACGACCCAAAGTCAAAGCCTTTTTTTACTGTGAGCGTGGTAAGACCCTGGGCAACATGTTCCAGGATGAGGTGGTAGTCGTCCCAAGCCTGGAGGTGTTCAAAGCCAGTTTGGATAAGACCTTGAGCAATCTGGGTCTAGGGGGCTGTGTCCCTGCCCAAGGCAAGAGGGGTTGGGGCAGGATAATCTTTAAAGTCCATTCCAACCTCTTAGCATTTTATGATTCTGTAAAGAAAAAAAAAGCAGCAAAGAGCACACAACTTGGACCTTGTGTGGATTTTTGGTGGGGAGAAAGCTTTTGACCCACTTGTGCCTTCTCCTGCCAAGCTCCTTTGGAAAGCTCATGGCCTCAGTCTAACAGTCCTGCATGAACCCTAGAGGGGTCTAAGTCTCCTTGAACCTTCCCATGGCTGCTCCATAGCTGCCCTTACCTTGTCTCCATTAT